AACCGGACGCCTTAGGAAACATGCTTCCAAAAACAAAGTAGCCGAAAAGAAACCAGAATAACAGACTATCAGAGCCAGAGGAACATTTGGAGGTAATTCAGTACCTCCTTCTTTTCAACCTACAGGGGAGATAGTGGAACAGAAGCAGGGATGGGCCTGCCTGCTGTGCCCACAATTCATTGGAGATTGTTGTGGTGAAGAATTTCATTTATGATGAAGGAGAAATAAACCCCCATCAGCTTAAATTCAGGCAGGTTTATTGAAAAGGTGAAGAAGCATCTTGCAGAAGCAAAGCATGACTGAGGCTTGTGGGCTCTGTCTGGGTAAATGAGCAGCCGACAGTGGCTGATGCTGCCCCTGACTCTGGGGCCATGTGGTCTGTTGTTCCCTGTGAACATCTCTTCTATTCTCTTGCATCTTCCCTCAGCCTGGCAGTCTCTGTATACTCTGTATACAAAGCTATTCATAACAGCATTATTCATAATAGTTAAAAAGTGGAAACATCTTAAACCACCATCAGTTGATGAATAAGCAAAATGTGGTATAACCATATAGTGGAATATTATTTGGCCATAACAAGGTTGAAGTACTGATGCAGGCTAAAAAGGGTGAAACTTGAGAACAATATGCTGAGAAGCAGATGTAAAATGCCACACTTTGTTATTCCATATAGAGGAAGTGCCCAGAATAAGTACGTCTGTGTATAGAGAAAGTAGATTAGTGGTTGTCAGAGACTGCGAGAAGTGGGGAATTGGAGAGTGACTGCCCATAGATACAGGCATGCTTTCTGGCATTATGAAAATTCTGGAATTAGGTAGTGGTGATGGTTGCAAAACTTTTGGAATATGGTAAAAGACACTGAAATGTATGCTTAAAAATGGTGAATTTTGTGATATATGAATTATACTGTAGAAATAATAATACTAATAACAGCAGTAATAAAGCAAGGTGTCTTTCCACATCTCTATGTCTTGTATTTTCATTAAAAAAAAAAAAACATTTCAGGGCCAGGCTCAGGGGCTCACTTCTGTAATCCCAGCACTTTTGGAGGTCTAGGTGAGAGGATCGGTTGAGGCTAGAATTTCAAAACCAGTCTGAGCAACATAGCAAGACCTTGTCTCTAGGAAAAATAAAAAATTAGCCAGAAATAGTGATGTGTGTCTACAGTTCCAATTACTTGGAAAGCTGAGGCAGGAGGATCGCTTGAGCCCAGGAGTTCGAGGTTGCAGTGATCTGTAATCACCAGTGTACTCCAGCCTGGGTGACAGAACAAGACCCTGTCTCAAAAAAAAAAAAAAAAAAAATCTCACTTTAATAGTAAGTAGTCAGAATATGATGCTGGCAGCATGTTGTGAGGAAATGTATTAGATGAAAGAAGTTAAATTCCAGTTTTCCTTTTTTCAGAAATGAGGTATAGGGGAGAGAAACACATACTTGGAAAGAACTGACCCAGCTGAATTGGAAAATGTGGGAAGGGGATGGGAAGAGGCTGCTCCACCTGAGATCTGGCTCCAGGACTTACAGCAAGGGGAACTTGGGCAAGTTACAGACTCTCTGTGCCTCAGTTTCTTCATCAGCAAAACAGAAGGAATCATCCCATAAACTGTAAGGTCGATGCTATCAGCAAGTCCCCAGATTGACTGCGCATCTGAGTCATGTTAACAAACACATTCCAGGCCCCACCTGAGCCCTCTGAATCAGAATTCCCACAAGGAGGACAATGAACTTGTATGTGCACTGACTTTCCCAGATGTTTCTTACTCTGATCAACTTGGGCGTAGCTGCATCACATCATTCCAAAGCCAAAACACAGCAGCACAACAAGAATATTTTCAATGCAGTCTCTAAAGCAGAGCAGAAACTGTTGAGGGAACCTAGAAGTAAAGGAGATCTGGCTTGCTGGACTCCATTTAAACTTTATTTTGAGTACAGCAGAGACAGGAGCCCTTCGGGACACATACCTGAGGCAGTGACAGTCCAACTTTGGAACAGTGGAAGCCCTAGTTTCAAATTCAGGCATGCTTTGAGTAGAAATTAAATTTACCTCTTTAGCACAGCAACATGGCCAATCTTTCCTAAGCTACCCAGCTTACAAAAAAAGGAATCGTCCTGCTAAGAATTCAAACTTCAGCAGTCATGGGTAAGTAAGGAAGTCTTATAAATCTATTCTAGCCACCTAACAAGAAACCAGAAATTTAGCAAGTTCTTTCACTTTCAGGACAGTTGTGTTCACTAGATCAGAGGCATTGAGACAAGAACAACAGACCCCTAAAAAGGGAAAGTGTTCCTTGCAGTTTTAGGACATCACTGGAACATTAGGGAAGTGGGAACACAGCTGCCTGCTCTACAGTGTAGGTTGCCTTTGTGTCTGGAATGTGTCTGACGTCCTGATCCCTGTGCCCATTTCAGGAGCCTCGGGAGGAGCCTGAATCACTGATGGAATTGGACAGTGCGTGGAGATGGTTCAGCAGGATGAGGGTAAGTGCAGGGGCAAGTCCAGGTCATACTGAGAGACAATGAGTGGCGCTGATGGGGACAGACAAAGATAAAATCAAAAGTTTGTGCTTCATCTTCAAAAACTCAAACTAAGAACAAACTTGGCCTTATGAGAAATATTAAGTATTTTTCTATTTACATGAGAATATAATCTCAAAACAGAAATCAGAAAAATATTAAGTCCAAGGCATAACACCTAAACCATTGCTCATATTTATTCTTTCTAAATAGAGCAAAGTGTAAAATCTTCTCCATAAAACATACATTGTGGTTATAAAAAGGCAAATATCTTAGAATCATTGGTATTCCTTAGAAGGTGAATTAAACACAGCCAAGGGAAGACCGAAGTCTCATACTTCTCTTGCATATTCCAAAGTTCCAGGGAAATTCCAGGTGATAGAGGTTATTTCCCATACTGTTAAAGCAAGGTTGCAGACACTTGGGAATTTTGGTCCCAGTACTCTAGGAGGGCACATGTCTGTCCTGGAAAATAATACAGGAATGAATTCTCTTCCTGTGACTCATTCTGCTCATTCTTCCAGCATCACAAAAACCAAAAAATGGAAATATGGCCAAATACATGGTTTGCTATCCCTCTTCTTCAGGTTTCTTACCTGTTACTTATGGATAATGGCATTGCCTTAAGGATTATGATGAAGATACAATGTCCAAATATGAGCACAGTTTTGAACAAAATGCCTTTTATGAATTGGTCAATGAATAATTACTAAATAATTTTATGAATATTTACTGAATTATATGGATCATATGAACAATTACTGAATAGTTATTGTGATTGCTTTTATTGGCAGTGCTGAAAACTCATCCCTGTGTGACCTCAAGAAAGCCATGTAACTTTGTGAACCTGCAGTTTTATCATTTAGAAACTTGAGAGATTTTCATTCTAACACAGAATGTCAGGTCTCCCAGACCCCAGAAAATACAGTGACTTAAAGCCTTTCATACCTCTCAAAGCAATATTCTTACAGTGTCATTAGAGGATGGTGTGGGCTGCAGAGACGGATACTTTCAAATGGGATTGATCCAGTTCTCCTTCCTTCACTTCCACATGAATGCTGGGCAGCCCAGGGTCACACCCACTGCACCCTCAACTCAGGCAAGTCCACCAGCCAATCTTAGGAGACCCGGGCTACAACACAGTCTCCCAAGTTCCAGGCTCACAAAACCTAGGTGGGAATGAAAGCTGAGAAAGTGAGGAGGTGATTCAGGGGATCACTCTTTCCTACTTGTTCCTCTCACCTCAAACTCACCTTCTATTGCACAGCAACACTGAGGATCACCAATCAACCCTGACCATAACCTTGATCTTGCCATGTTCTGTTAGTGGAATGCAACCAAAAATCAATGGTGTTAGTCCAACTCAACAAAATATACATCAAACCATATTCCACAAGAACTGCTCGTGGCCCTTTTTTTTCAGTATATGGGAAAACAAAATGGAAACAACAAAATAGCCTCAGGTTTACAAAAATTCCCAAGATAGATGGTCACACATGTTTTCAGGAGACCTCTATATAAATGATTTTGATCACTTGATACCTCGAAAAGAGGTCTTGTGGCACTAGAATGACATCCATTAGTGATAAGTATAAAATGTAGTGCTCAGTGACATTGAAAAACAAATCAACCCACATAGAGGAAGAGCTTTGGACGTAGGGATGCCAAACTGGTCTAGAGTGTAATGAAAGCCCAAGATGGTGCCCCACTGAGAAAAAGAAATCAACATAACAGTGGGTCGCAGCAAGAAGAATACTGAGACAGGAAAGAAAACATTTTTTAAAAATGAATTATTCATTCACTTTCTAGTGGATACAGAAAAAACTGCAGAAGATCCAGAGGATATCAGGGCAGGCTAAAAGTCTGATATCTTACACCTGTGGAAAACCCTTAAGATCTGCTTTAACTTAGAGCAGGTGGGGTGACTTCATGACTGCCATTAAGAAAATATAACCTGTTGGGAAACTGTTTCTGCCTTGATGATTTTGTACAGACAAGAGCTAAACAGTGAGGAATATGCTTAGATGTATTGGGAAAGAGATGGGTCTGTGCCATTGTCACGAGGGTACACGAATACTGAGAGTGAATGCTGAAGGAATGAGCCCATTGGTGGTGACCCTCAGGTGAGACCAGGGTTCCTGTGTTTCAGCAAAGCCTGGGCAATTGGAATGCAGGGCTCCTAAGATTCCATGACACCCCCACCTTCTAATTCTGTTATTGCAACTGCAGACGGTTACCTGGCACGCTGGCGACAATCTTCCTCACTCTTGTCAAACTCTGAGTCACTGGCAGTGCCTGCAGCTCTGAGCTCAGACACCTCGAACTTTATTTTTGTGGTTAAGGATCCTAAAGTGTTGTGGGGAGTGATCACGTTTTTCTCAACAGTAAGTTAAGAGTTTCAGTTACTGACATCCCTCAGTCCTGACTAAACCTATTTGATTTCACCAATTTTTAACCCATCACGTGTTGGCGTTTCTTCTCCCCAGTCCCTGGCTCCACCTCTTCTGCCACAAACATCAGCTTGGTGGTATCTGCTGGCCCTTAGTCCAGTGAGAAGGCAGAGATGAACATTCTAGAAATCAACGAGAAATTGCGCCCCCAGCTGGCAGAGAAGAAACAGCAGTTCAGAAACATCAAAGAGAAATTTCTTGTAACTCAAGTGGCCTGCTTCCTGGCCAACTGGCAGAACAAATACAATACGATCTCTAGGCTCACCATCATGAAAGTGATGAATGACATCCTATCTTCTCTTTGAGGAACTAAATGCTCTCTCCATCAAAAATAATTTCTTCCTGCCTGTACTTGTAAGAAAACAAAAATGGGTATTTTAACATTTTGTTAAGGTTGGAAGACGGAGGTACCAAAGTATTTAGTAACTTTCCATGTTTGCAGTCAGGTAGGGGTGGGACTGGAGTTCAAATCCCAGTTGTTGATTTTCTGACACAGGCAGAGAAGGACCTGTTTTCTCCAAGAGTCTCAATCATGTTTTCAAGAATCCTCTCTGTACCATATAAGATCCTGCAGACAAATAACATCTAGTCTGTTGTTCTAAATGTCTGGGACTAGTGAACTTTTATTCAGTTCAAGCTTCTGTTGAGGCCCAATGGGCAAAGCTCTGTTCTAGTGACCCTGAGGGAAAGTTGGTGATAGTACCCAGTGCCCGCTCTGAGGAGCTTCAAGAGGCATTTGTTCCTAATAGAACCTGTGGTATCTATAAGTGATGGCATCAAGAGCAGGGAGTAGGGGCTGTGCATGGTGGCTCACTCCTGTAATCCCAGCACTTTGAGAGGCTGAGGTGGGCAAATCACGAGGTCAGGAGTTTGAGACTAGCCTGGGCAACATGGAGAAACCGCGTCTCCATTAAAAATACAAAAATTAACTGGGTGTGGTGGCAGGCACCTGTAATCCCAGCTATTCGGGAGTCTGAGGTAGGAGAATCTTTTGAACCCAGGAGGCAGAGGTTGCAGTGAGCCAAGATCGTGCCATTGCACTCCAGCCCCTGGGCGACAGGGGAAGATTCGTCAAAAAATAAATAAATAAAAAAGCAGAGAGTACCCTGGTGAGAGGAAGTCCTGCTTCCTGGGGCACAGGCTCTTGTTCCTAAAGAGGAAGAAAGATCGCACCCGACAATGTGTGGAAGTAGCAGTGCAATGTGCAAGAGCAGGGACCTGGGCCTGTATCCTGGACTCCATCCAAGTTGCTTGTCTTGTCTGTCCCTCAGTTTCCTCGTCTGTTCATAGGGTACTACAATAATACCTACCTCTGTAAATTGCTGCAGTGAATTACATGAGCTATTTCTTGTCAATCTCCTAGAACATTTATTGGCACAGAGTAAACACTATCTATTAGTTCTTCATTGTACTGTTTCTAAATTAACACAAACTTTATTAGTATTTGGGCATATTTCCTTCATGGCCTTATGGTCTTATGTCTCATACTTTATGTTTCGGATACGATTCTTAAAATCTTATCTGAAGATATGATTTAAAAATCTTTGACATACTTGTCCTTGAAATTCCCAGTAAAAGGGAAACCATCAGTCCCATAGTCCTAGGGGCCTTCCCGACTTACAAGAAATCACTGCTTCATGGCCCAGTGCAGTGTTTTAGAGGAGAGGCTGAAGGCTTGGGAAAGCGGCCCCGCATTCAGACTCAGACCTCAGGGGCTGTGAGTTCTGTCTCCACTTCATTGTGGTTGAATCATCTTGTCAATTTCCTTGATGTGCCCTTGAGTTTCTCTTTCTTCGTCTCTAAATTTTGGAGGATCAGATGCCAGAAAGTCGGGAGACTGAAGAGTAAAGATGTGGAAATCCCTGCCTAGAGCCTGGTAGTGGGGACAGTTTTGTCCTTGGGATGGACCCGACTCCTGCCCTCTAGGCAGTGACCACAGCAGCATGTCCAGCCTTCCACTGAGGCAGGCGTGTCTGTCTTTTCTCAGAGTATGAAGAGTGCAAAGACCTCATAAAATCTATGCTGAGGGATGAGCTGCAGTTCAAGGGGGAGAAGCTTGCAGAGCAGCTCAAGCAAGCTGAGGAGCTCAGGTGAGGGGGCCCCGTGGGGGCAGGCAGGTGGGCAGGTGTGTAAATCTCTGACGTACAGCAGCTCGGCGGGGAGAAGTAAGAGCTAAGCTGGGTCAGGGAAGGGAAGGAATTGCCATGGCAGGCTCATGACACACAAATATTTATCAAACAGAGAACAAGGATAATAATAAGTTATGGGTTGCAGTTGTTTCTCAGAGCCTTGTTTTCTCTTTTTCAAACAAGTAATTGTTGAGGTGAAATTTACATAACACGAAATTAATCAAAGGAGTGCAAACCATCCAGCAGCATTCAGTATACTCAAAATGGTGTGTCATCACCACCCCACTTACCCTTAGTCAGAATCACCTCCTGACTGGCTGGGGCGTCTCATTCTTTCACTCAATCAATGTTGCCTTCTCGGCCCTGTCATTCTTTTCTTCTTTCATCTTTTCAATTCGCCCCATCTGCACCCAGCCTCATTTTTGTACATGGCTTTGTATCTATAGCCGCAAGATGCACTATGCATATTTTCACATGGAAATGTCCGTGGCCAGGGTGAGGAACTGAGAAGATGTCTTTTTGAAACGGAATTAGGAAAACACCTACTTTTGTTTACAGAAGAGAAAGATGAATGGAATATCATCAAGGATCTTACAGGAGTCCTCTCTGATACAGAGGAAACCTGTAAACCATTTTCTATTCTTTCTCTTGGCCACAGACATTCCTTTAAACATGTGCTGACCTTCTGCTTGGAGGTCTCCTTGAGGACATTGTCTCAGAAATCTCTGTTGCAATATTAGAACTGA